GGGTGCTGGTATGGGAACGGCAGTTGTGCAAGGGGACCTAGGGGGTGGGGGTGTTAGTCTGGGTTTTTGTGAGGTTTGTTGATTGGGAAGGGGTATGGGGATAGGGGTGTATCAGGGAGTGAAGGAACGGCAGGAAGGGGCTTACATTCTTTATCTCCATCTCCATAGTCTTTACCTCTCCACCTCTATCACCTCTCTCACAACGTTCCAAGACCTCAACACGCTTCCTCAGGGATTGTAGATAACTCTTAAACTCCCGTTGGCTCTTCACCAATTCCTTGGCTAACTGTGCATTATTGCGAGAAGGTGGTGTGACGACCTTTAGTGGTTCACGTTTGTTGGCTCTAGCAGAGGAGGCGAGACGCCGACCTTCAAAGGCGGAGGAGTATTTTGGTCTTGAGACTGAGATGTTTAGAGTTGAGATGGTGGTTATGGGTGAGAAATTGGAATCGGTTGGGAGGACTAGATGGAGGTGCGTAAGACGTGGTGTTTGTGGTTGGGTTGGGACCTTGATGTGGTGTGTGTTAGCATTTATCCTGATACCTTCTTCACTTCTTTACAAGTAGGTGAAAGGAAGGATGTTGAGTAAGGAGGAGATGTACATACCTCTTCCTCCTGGAAATCCTCCTTCTCATCCTCATCCTCATATCTAACCCTCTCCATACCCCTCCTCTCCCGCCTCATACGTCGTAGTGCCGACCCAAGACCTTCTGAGGTATCGCCTAGATCGACCTCCTCATCCTCATCCTCCTCATTTCTAGTAACGGGGCGTAGATACCTGGCCATAGAAGGTCGGATTGAACGTTCCTGGAGGCTTTGCGATGAGAATCCGAGAGGGAGGTTGGATGGTGTGTGATATGTGGTGCCGCTGTGGAGGGATTGTGATGGCTGACGTTTTTTCCTTGTAGATGTAGATGTAGATGTGGATGTGCTATCATCTCTCATCCCGTTTGACCCCATAAACACCGTCTATGGTCCCATTCCTTGTTGACAGGATGGTTGTTTGATGACGATGGGTCGTCGGTATTTCTTTGTCGGCGGCGATGTGGGCTATGTGGTGGTGGTGATATCAGACGCGTTATGGTAGTGCTGATGGCGGCGGTGTAGTTGCTGAGTTGGTTTTCTGGATGCTGGTGGTGGTTCTCTTGTTTGTGGGTGGGAGGAGGTGTGGAGTGTGGAATGTGGTGTTGATGTGGATGTGGAGGGGATTTCGGAAGGTTGTTTTGGGATAGGGTAGGGAAGGGGAGGGGGACATTTGTGGTATATGTGTAGGTTGGGAGGTGGTGAATTTGAGGGGGTGGTGAAGAGTGGTAGTAAATTGAAGTTCTGGTAGTGAGGGTGAAGCGTCTGTGGATTGTTAGTGAAGGGGTGTTTGCAGGCTGGTGAATGGTATTTAGGTGGCATAAATTTTCTTGCATTGTATCACAAGCTGTCAATGAGTGTCTATGTCTTTTGTTAGATGTCTAGCCCAGTAAGCATTTTCTTACAAACAGGTTGTGTCAAACGCGTCCAGTAAGGTGAATGTGTGAGAGAATAGGCGAGTTCCTCGCTTATTTTCTTAGGCTCTAAATACTAGTACTGTAAGTAAGAGAAATATTCTAAAACAGTACCAAAGTATACTATAACATTACTACTTACAGACAAACTAGATGAATAATTCTAAGAAGCAGATCAACGATGCGGTAGAGAAAAAGATTCAATGGTGATAGTGGTACTGTTGTGGTCACGAGGAGTTAATTTATTAGCATTGGTGTTAGTCGCACTAAAAAGCAAGAATCACGTTGTAGATCAAGAAACAATCAATACATCCAACAAAATCTCTAAACATAGTCGTCACATATCTCCCCAAAAACCCTCCTGGTATTTGCGCTTCCTTATTACCTCTGTTCTTGCAATTCCCGCAACTCTGCAGTACTCAAAAAAGGAATGGGACTGGGGCGGTACATAGCATAGATACCAAGTCGAACCCAAAGGAATAATAAAAACCCTCCATCCAGAACTTATTAGCCCTCTTTACAACCCAAAAGTCACCGTTGAGAAGATGTCATTCCAACGAAACAACCCAACAGAAACCGTCTTCGTTACTACTCTATCGCTGGCCAAGCTCAATGGAGAGTCGCATGGGACAACAAAATCAAAGAAGGTATTGCCTATCTCAGAAGGCGCGATCTCTGTGTTGTTGGTCAACACACGTGTTCAAGAGTTAGCTTTGATAACAGCGCTGGAATTGGGCCTACTAAACTTGTTTATATGGAGTGGTACTGATTGGCATCATTTTAGTGGATAGCGGCTTGATATTCTAGCAGATATATTGAACTTTGAAGTTCAAGTGTCTGACCATCGGAAAATCAGTACAGTAACCTTGGAGATAAATTAGAATAGAAAAGTGTATTTGTCTTTTTTTGCCTGGTTTTGAGCAGCTTACAGTACGAATTACATGTACATAGCTCTACGCCGGGCCTCTGTTACACAGAAATAACGTACCGGCAAACGAAACATAAGCACGCTCCCTCTAGAGTAGCTGGCATTTGACTACAAAATGTTGACAGATACGACTAGCACAGCTCGCGAAATGTAGAAAGGTGCCAAAGCCGGAGCTTAAGAATTTGACACTATTACCAGCTGAACAAAACGCGAGGCTAAAGAAGAGATTTCATAATCTTAAGCCTGGAATAGCCCGCTAGCTGCTAGTCAAACCCACTCTTTGGAGTTTCTCGAGAATAGATCTAAATCAGCAGAGGCGTTCCACTCACAATCCAGTGCTGATGTCAAAATGGTTTAAAGAAAGAAGGGGGAGAGAGGAGAGGGGTATTGACCTCGGTATGCCAGGGAGAAAAAGGTGTTTTGATGTCGTGACTTCCCTCTTTGCAAGAACACAGCATACAAGTTGAGTAGTTGCCACTCCGCTCAAGCGGGCTTGGATTGAGAAAGGAGCGTCCACGTATGTTTTGGTTTGTGTCTCAACCTGCCCTAGACTGCTACTTGATTCTCGGTCTACCTCGCCTCTCTCGACTTGAAATCGCCCTACTAGCGACACAAGCCGAGGCAATGAGATATCGCGCCTTCCTTTTCTCAGTCAACTCCAGTGAATACGCCTCTTGGTAATGCGCAGGTTCTTCGTACGAATGCAGGTCTTTGTTTAAGATCAAGGTCGACATCACGATGCTCTATCATGTCCTTCTTTTAACCCAACCTCCGAGAATAAGGGGTTTCAAGGATGTATGGTCTTGTGCTTTTGGACGCTTTACTCAGTTGGAACGAGAATTGGGAGATATGTTTGTAAAATCTGCTACTTTCACTACTGAAAAACCCTTACGCCCACGAGAAATCAAATCTAGTTGTACGAAGCAGTCTTCGTCAATGTGCCACCCTCTCTACTTTGATCCAGCGTTCGGCACTTTGAATACGATTCCAAGGATTCCAAGATTCCATTCCAAGGTGGAATATTCCAAAGGCTCTCTAATTTGGAATGGAATATTCTAAAGGATAAGGCCTTGGAATTTGGAATTCCAAAGGATATATATATATATATCACTTTTTGACCAACAAGAGAGCTCTATTTGTAATAAGGTGAGGACTGAGATTTGTATTATTACCTATGCCTAATTAGTCATCGTCGTCTTCTATATATAACTCTAAAGCCTTAAATCTTTATATAATACCCTAACCGCGAAGACAAACAATCAAAGTAGTATTAGGGCTAAAACTAGGCTTCCTATTGGTCGCTCGGACCGGAACTACTATGTTACGGTGTCACGTGAGTTCCAATTGGAATTCCAGATGCCGAACGCTGCTTTGATCATTCAGCCACTTGTTACTTTGTGACCTGTATCAAAATAAGCATACTTCAAGTAATTCTCTTATAATTTATAGAACTCTAATAGACTGGATCTACCTTCTCTTGTTTATTTATAAGTAAGTATATATTTCAGTTCAGAACTTACGACCCCCTCCTCCCATCCCATGAATAAAAGTTTATATATTGCAAAGTAGGTACATTCGGTGGGCCCTAGCAAAGCCTATTCTAGCCAATCAAAGTTAAGACGGCTAAGCTAACCATAGTATAATATTAGTGGTTAGTTGGCCCACCAAATAAACCCTATTACATATAGTTTTATTCGTTAAAGTTAGAATTTGCACTGCCTCCCCTAGAAACTATAACGTGTGCCCACCTTGTACGAAATAACCTTTTACCTAGGGGATGGATAGTAATTCTTTAAAGTTTATACTAGTAACAACTCTATTTATAAGTAGAAGTTTTAACTTTATAACTTCAAGTTAATATAGAGTAGCGAATGTTAAGTATTATGTGATAATGTGGATCGTTCTATCCCTTACTCCGTCACACCTGAGGAAACCGGTAGGCAGAATTTCCTAATGAGGCTTGGTCTAGTACTCCCACCAATCAAGTCAGTACAATGTTACTAGCCAAACCTAATTAGACGTTCGTTCTGTCTACCAGTTTCCTCAGGTGTTACGAAGTAAAGGATACCTTTAGTTGATCCATCTTTACAAGAAGGCGAGCATCTCACTAAGGGATGCTTCTTAAGCGAACTAATCTGGGTTCCACACACTGTTCCTTTAGATAGTACATGACGACGTAGAGAGCATGGGGGCTTTTTTGAAGTACTATATGTTCAGTAGTTCTGTTAGCTTTCTTGCTTAAGTACAGAGGGGCCATCGTGTGGGAAGTCGTGTCAGTAGGAAACATAAGCGGAAATAAAGAAATTGTGGTTGTGAGCAAAATAAGCGAGTGGGAACATTTAATATTGTGTTTGAGTATCATTGTGGAATATGATCAACATAGAATAGCAACTTAGAAACCCTGAAACCCCTTTAGCTGCTAGGTAAAGAGAAAAAATAAATTTGTCTGTATATCCATAATATAAAGATCACTAGTCTTCTGGTTTATTCTATTCCACCGTATTTTGACAGTTATAGTACTCTGCACAGAGTTATTGCTCTACATTTAATGAAATTAAAAGCTGGAAGCTGTGTGCTACATAAAGCTTACCATGATGAATAGACTAGCAGGGGTACAAGGTATCAACGGTATTTTTTCTTGGCTGCGGTAGACTGTGCTTAATCTTGAAACCATAAATAAGCACAAAAAGACCTATTTCAGATATCTGATACTTTTTGCGGCAGTTCATTTCTCATAACACAAACCGCCTTCGAATATGGCATAAATGTTAGTACCCTTCGCTTAATAAGAAATAAAATAGGCACTTGGGTGACAGAATAGTACTGCACAACCTCATTGTGTCATTTAGTTACTTGTGATCTTTGGAAGCATAGGAAGCTACGATCTTTGAACCACGTCTATTTCTTCAAAGCAGGTAGATTTTGTCTCTCATGAATGTCTTCGGACGCAATGTTTGTAGTTGAATTGAATATTTATCTTCTCTTGCCATTGGCCAATGATCAATTTTCTTCATTGCTGTGCCACCCAAGCCTCGGAGAGTTCTACTTAGCGATTAAGTAGTCTCCCGTTGTGGTTCACCGGAATGCATAGGGGGATTCTATTGGGAGGCAAAGGGACAGGGCAATCTTACATGCCCTTCGATGTAAACATGCTGACTTTCAACAATGGGCAGCCTCTATTGGTCACGAACATAAGGTGTGTAATGAGAGAATTAGAAATATGCTGACTCCATCTATGTTGAAGCTGCTCTAACTGTTTTAGAGCGAATTAGCAGAACTTGCTTTTGAAGAGGAGGTGAGCTTCATTAATTGAAGGGAGGATAAGACTGCAGATTTCCGATAAACTTGGGCTGTGAGTCTTCCTCCCTAAGAAGAGAAGTTATAGCAACATCATCTATGGCTCTTCCATCTCTCTAGAAAACTCTAGAGAGGAAATAAAGGAATAAGTCATGTAGTTAGATGTTTAAAAACAGCTAAGATGAGGCGAAGTGTTCTTGCTTTTGGCAATCTTACAATCGTTCCCTTCAACCTGCTGTGATTACCTTCAGTACCGTGCAAATTTGCTATTTCAAGATGAGAAATACTACCATTCTGTCTTAGATAACTGCTAAGAAATGATAAATAGAACTTGAAAAGCGTTATCTTGTCGTGTTCTTATTCTAGATTGCTGACTTTTGCTGTAACTTACAGTCGGAGACATCACTGGCAAATTGAACCAGCTTTCTGTTCTTTCAAGGGCTTTGCTCTATAGCATCAATGTGAAAAAACATCGGGCCATGATTCAACATGAAAGAGAAGATGAAATAGACCACTTCGAGGTATTCAAGTACTCCTTATTGTCAACACGAATCCATCTACCCAGTAACACTTGAAACAGATGGAATGTAGTCCAAATTTACGAACTGTCGTCGAAAACAGGCCAAAGTAATTTTCACATTGAGTGATGTTAAGAAGCATATCAAAACATGTCACACCCACAAAACATTATCCGCGGTAAACTACTTGAAAGTATTTCACACTCCGCCGCGTGATTGCTTGGACAGGATTGGCATTGGACTTGTCGGCCCGAATAAAGCGGCTCAAATCTGGGTTTCGGGAGTTCCGTCGGTAAAGAATCCCATTAGGGAAACACAAATGGTCTCTCTTTGTTTGGCAAAGAACCAGATGAGTTTGAGCCCGCTGTGGTTATTGTGTGTTCTTTGATTTTTTTTGATAGAGATAAAGATTTGCCTCGTGTACTGGGCCTACTTTGTGATTTCGCTCGTGGATTTGAGGTAAGAGTGTGCCCACAATGAAAAGAGACGAAGCCATCATGTGAATGATAGGAAATAGAGATGACGTTGAACCAAGCAGCAGGTCTATATCACTCTCAATAGGTATGAAGCTTATGAAACACCCATATGAATTACCGATCAGCACAAAATCCTGTTGTCAGAAAGATCAAGAGGTAAGCCAAGGCGGAATCATCGGTCTTATATGAAAGCCAAGAACCCAACTGAAGTGGCGGTGGATCCGGGATCATTGGTCACACTTTTCAAAGGCACGAAAAGATCGGAAAAACGGATTCAGGTACTTCCACGTGATTTACTTGAAGTGAGGTTAGTGAAATTCTTCGAAATCTCGTAAACAGTCCTTGCCAAGGTCAGCATGCTCTCTTGGTGAATAAGTGATTGCCTGGTTCAATAGTGATATATCCTTGCTCGCTGAGCTCGCCTACAATGCTTGGCTCGCTCAACCCCTGAAAAATACTGTAGAAAACAACGAAATATGCTGCATTGCATCCTGCTGCCTCAGGTTTAACATAGAAAAGTCCCGCTATCTACCAGCTCCAGCATCCCCCTATCTGACTCGCGGTTTTCTCCAACTCGTATTTCAGCCTTTCTATTCGCCACTGAGGTTCGCAATGTGACTTCTTCTGGTCTGGCTGCATCAAAATTCCGCCGTTCCTCCCCCTGGTGATTTCCCCTCATTCTTTACCCCATTTCCCCTCATCCCCAACTATGCAACGACAACTCCACCATAATTCAACGAATAAGTCCACCCTTCTGGTTGCTTCATTTATGAAAATTACCTATTCGGGGACAAATATCTAAATCAGCACCCCGAGCAATTATTCAGAATGACGGAACATGCATGCCTATGTAAAAATTCGATAGAAGTAGAGTGGGTAGCTCCCGCTCCCACTCACCCCGCTGGGGCCAATCAATTTTGCCTGTCATTGCGACAGTGCCAACCATCGTGAATGTGCCTGGCGATGCGGCCAAACAACATGTCTTTGAAGGTCTGGGCGCTCGGTATGACTGCCAAAAGACACCAAAGCTCGCTTTGTACTCGGCACTAATTCTCAATAAATTCAGTAAAAGACTCATCAATACCAGTTTAACGACAACTTACGGTGCACGTAGACCCTCAAGACGAGCAAGTTCGATCTTTGGCTTCTTCTGCTGCTCTCGTATCTTCACTGAAAACGAACCAATTGACCCTTGAAAACCCATTCGGCCCTGCTGCTGCATCCGCTATGGGGTTCCAAGTCAAACTGCCTGCATAAATCTCTTGGGGTTCCCACTGGATACTAATCCCCACAAACAACGTCAACGGAAGACCAGAATCCAGATCGAGAGGATGGGAACACTTGGCATCAGCTTCAACTTTGGCGAGTGTCGGAGTCAGGTTCGTTGTGGTTGGGAAAAGCGGCATCCATCACAAATTCCTGGTTGATATGATCACAATTTTCAGACCCAGCGTGGTTGATCGTTACAGTACTTCAATGGAATATTTTCGAAGACAGGCAGAATAACTCATTTTTATACCATGAAGAAGGACAATCGACGCTGCCTTCATTATCTAGTAATTCTGAACAGTCAGAAAATGGGTGTTTTTCGGCAATAAGCGTTTCTGGAAAATACCCAATCCAGAGGTGGAGCAAGAGAAAGAAATCCACTTTTGGAAAACCCCAGTATCCACTTGCGGGAATTGTGGATCGTTCTGGGGAATGGAGAAGGAGGCTATATAACATTTCGAAGTCCCAGCATTTCTTTTTGTTTGTCCGTTCAGCTCATCTCAATTTCATCTGGGTAGCAGGCTTCTTCTATTTCCTCGACAATCGCGCCATACATTGCATACATTATTGCGCTGCGAGACGGTCACCCTGAGGAGTTTCGCTATGGGGATCTTTAAGAAGCGCGATGCTTCGGCTGTCGATGATCATGCAGTGACTGGTGCGGGTGAAATCACCCTCAGAGAGTCCATATTGCCAGTCAGTTTGGTGACCATCTTATTCTTTATGTGGGGTTTCGCCTACGGACTCCTCGACGTCCTGAACGCACATTTCCAAACTGCGTTAAATATTTCCCAGGGAATGTCGGGAGGACTACAAGCAGCATATTTCGGAGCATACTTTATTGGTCCGCTGACCTACTCCGGATGGATTGTTCGAAAGTTTGGTTATAGATGGGCTTTCATCGTTGGACTCTGTATCTATGGGGTCGGAGCTTTGATGTTCTGGCCTTCTGGAACATATAGATCGTAAGATTCAACAATTCCGCTCATATTTGACAAAAAGGCTAACACGCGTATAGCTTTGGGGGCTTCTGCGGATCAATGTTTATAGTTGGTAGCGGTCTCTCCACTCTGGAAGCAGCAGCCAACCCTTTCATCGCAACTTGCGGTCCTCCCAAGTACTCGGAAATTCGATTAACTCTTGCGCAAGCTTTTCAAGCCGTGGGAACAGTTGTCGCACCAGTTCTCGCATCACAAGTCATTTTCAAGAACGTCGATGACACGTCTCTCGAATCAGTACAATGGGTCTATCTCGGCATTGCTATCTTTGTGTTCCTTCTCGCAGTTGTCTTCTTCTTCGCCAACATTCCTGAAGTTACCGATGCAGACATGGCAGATCAAGCTGCCCAATCTGGCGCGGATACAGAATTCGTGGACAAACCGTTGAGCAAACAGTACACCCTGTTCTTTGGTGTATTAGCTCAATTCTGTTACGTTGGTGGTCAAGTCGCTTACGCAGGATACTTCATCAACTTTGTCGTATCAGTCAGACCTGGCACTTCACACGCCACAGGTTCCAACCTTCTCGCTGCAGCACAGGCATGTTTTGCAGTGGGTCGCTTCGTTGCTAGTGGAATAATGAAGTTCACACGCCCTCGCTTTGTACTCTTGGGATTCTTATCTGGTGTTGTAATCTTCGCCGCTATGGCCATAGGCGCCAAAGGAGATGCGGCACTAGCAGCCATTTTCCTCGTCCTATTCTTCGAGTCCAGTTGCTTTCCTCTTATCTTCACTTTGTCGCTCAGAGGTTTAGGTCGCCACAGCAAGCGAGGTGCTTCATTCATCGTCGCTGCTGTGTCTGGTGGTGCACTCTTTCCACCTGTTTTGGGAGTCGTCGCCGATAACTTGGGAGGCAACACTCAACTTGCGTTCTTCATACCTTTGATTGGTTTCGTTATTGCGTGGACGTTCCCACTATACTTGAATGTGTTCAAGGCCAAGAGTTTGGATGCTTGGACTGACAAAGTCGATGTTGGCATTAAGCCCGCTGCCAAAGACTTGGAGAGCGCCGAGGATGACATGGCGAAGGAAGACGTACAAAGAATTGAAAAGGTTTGAACAATATAAAGTTGGTTCTGGAGTTTGATCATTGGGCAGGTTGGAATTGAATGTTTGATACCTTCTACTTTTATTTGGGGGCTACATGAAGTTATGTCTAGGAAATATGGCAGATATGAATAATTAGAAATGACTTATACCACTTTCAAGAATACTTTCTATTGACTACTGTTATGTGTTGCTTAATTTGAACCATACTCAGAGTGATTTGCTGAAGAATATACATTTGCGCTGTTGACTTGACTAGGGGAATCAATAAGGAAAAACAGTAAGCTTAAGCAAGGTCATCAAAATGTATTAAGTCATGCAAATCTGGTCCAGTTTGTTGATAAGCCAGATTCATTTGATCCAAATATACTGGTTGATCTGATATGTTCTATCTACTGATTACAGTGTTGACAAATTACAGCAATACTCTGGAGGCTTTTTGTGTTATGTTACTGATTCTCAGACAAGTTTCCTGCTCCAAACCAAGGTTGTCTTTCTAAATCTAAAGGAATTACTTTAAGGGTGCCTTGTAATACTAAATAGCATAGTGCAGAGTCTATACCAGAAACCGCAAATTCCATGCTACATTGCTTAGTGAACGAAATAACAGTAATTGATTAAACTGTTTCTTGCGTAATTGAGTCTTGACAGGACTACCCCATAATAGTCAGTGCGTCTTCCTACTGCGCTCAGTCTAGATGCTATTTCTTCATAGGTTCTCATAGTGTAATACACCAGAATTCAAAGAACAAATTGAGCTACATGTCTACTTTCTACCTAGTAAGTCATATGCCAGGTTGGAATATTAGCGTCCTAGTCAAGAGTAACAAGACAGCGGAGACGAGGCTGATAAGTTAAAAGATAACAAGAACGAGAAGAGCAGGTAGCACAGAGTATACGTAGTAAGACCACCTAGGTGAATCAGGAGAAAAGCCTGCTAGTGTTAGTGAAATAAGTTTAACTCTGTGGCTTTAATTCACTAGAAAATCAGTATACGTAGTACGGAGGTACAGCGGTTAAGTATTGTTACCCCTGCCCCTGTCAACCAGGGGGGGTGAATAGGGGTCCGAGAATGGCCTTCATACCCCTCGAAATCACTTTTAAACTTAGAAATATATCTATAAATTTAAACCGGCATAGCTACTAATATGTCCCCCCTCCTATAGCGGTGTCACGAATCACGTGCACACGTGACAAGTGAAGACCAGACGGCGTCATGACAAGCCGAGCACATATGGGCCTGGGAGCTTTATGTGTTCTGGGAAACCAAAGGGAGTTTTCTTATGTAAGCAGGAGCCGTTAATTGGTTGGATAATGTATATGGATGTATACCTTTACCAACATGTTGGTCACGTGATAGTCGACTGGTCGACTCGTCGACCTGTCGACCTGGTCGACAGAGTTGGTTGTCGACCAACATTCCTTAAGTAGTAGTATTCTGAGAACGAAGGTTCTATATAAGACTGGCACGTCTGCCATTCAGATAGGAGCTTCGTGCTCAACTTAGTTATCAATCTTATCATATTAGTTTGACATCTTTGATACAAGTAACGAGTTCACTTCCAAGTGAACAACCCGATAGTCTTCTTCTTATCATAGCATACCAACCAGCGAACACCCAGCCAAGTTTAGTTAGCCAGTTTGAGTATTCGTTACACTTAGGCTAGTCTTATTCGCAAATCTACTACTAGTACCCCAAAGTTATAATACGCGGTTAATAAGTCTCGGCCAACACCTATAAAGCGCGGCGGGCGTCTACCTATTCTTACGCAAGCGCAAGTTAAGCAGCTAGTAGATTATATTTGCGTATCTAAGGAGGGTAGGCGTGCCTCGTATACCTAGCTAGTAGAGATAATAGATTTTAGGGTTAAGCGAGACGTAATTTATATAGCTCTTTTACGTAAGGGATTCCACCGACGCCTAGCTATACGTAAACTACCTATTAGTCCTACGAACCAACAGATTAGGAAGTAGTAGGCTCTAGAGCATATTAATTACACTATTAAGCAATAGTATAATATCCTTTAGACCGACGAGACGTAGATTACAGGGGGGAGGCACACAAAGACCTAGGTAACTCGGAGGCCTAGCAAAGAATAGGACCCGAACTATATTATAGAGAAGTACTAAAGGAAGAAAGGTTAGATGTTTTAGGGGTGCTTTTATAGGCACACCTAGGGACTTAGTATGTTACGGAGTTAGAGGGACTGGGGTCTGGTCACGTGTAGCACAGCACGTGCGTGCCGCTGGCATCCTGTATTTAAGCTTCCGTTCCTCTGGAACTCTCTTCTCTCCTCACTTAGTTGTTCGCTCAATACAGCAGTTTCCGTTTGACTCCGTATTCATCACAGCAAGCAGTGGTTCACTCCACACAGTTACATAGTATACCCCCCTTCGCTTATTTTACCTTATTTCTAACCGATTTTCAGGTATTTTCTAGGAAAAGGACTAGGGTACTATCGGAAAGGAGTCCTATTACGCACGTATAGTTCCTATAATTAACGGTTGTATTCGAATAATTAAAAGAGACTATAAAATTAAGCTATACCTTATATAAGACAGAGCCCCTAGGTATACTACTACTAAAATAAAACAACAACTAGCTAAAAAAGGGATTATTATTAAATTTTAGCCTCCTTTCTCGCTAGATTTAAATCTAATTAAAAGGGTTTAGTATATAATAAAGAACTTTCTACAGGATAACTTCCCCGAGAATATAACGTACGATAAGTTACGTTTAGTAGTTAAGGAAGCGTAGGATAAAGTAGGCGAGCATGTGTTTAAAGAGCTTATAGAGAGTATGCTAGCTCGGTACTAGGTAGTAATTAACGTAGATAGGCTATTTACTAAGTATTAGGCTCTAAATAATTAAGAAATAGCTTTAAAAGTGCTTTAAAAGTACCTTATTTGGTATATTTTCAGTAATTTTAGTAGGTATAAGGGTTATTCTTAACCCCCTTGGTCGCCCCCCTGGTTGAAAGAGGCAGGGGTAACAATACTTAACCGCTATAACTCCGTAGATGTATATAAAAAATGGTAATCATTCACTAATAGAAATGCCATTCTTCCTAAGCGAGACTATTAGGGCTACCGCTTCTTGAAGGGGTACAAGATTTAGGGTATAGTCCCGTCACAACTCAATTACGCAAGAGGTAGTCTAGGAATCTTTAATGAAACATGGGTAGTTTAGTTGAGTGTGTAGATAAAATAATGTCAGATTACGTGTAGCCACTACTCAGTTGGTTATGCAAGCATATTCCCAAATAATTCTTTGGGTCCGGAGAGTCATTTAGGGCAAAAATATAGATATCTTGAACAGGTTCTTATCTACTAGAACGTTCTCTTTTCGAAATGAATCATTTCTTTTAGATAAGCTTATGTTTAAAAGATAGTGAGGGATCACTGTCCTCTTAAATACTTGAGGTTATTTTTCCAAGCACTCAGAATTAAGGAAATAATAAAGGGTCTGCTTCTTTTGATATATCTTCAACCAAACTATGGAATAGAAGACAAGGACCATCAGCATAATCATTTAATAGCTTGAACTTCTGAATAAAGTAGGCACCAAGAATCAATGGTTGTTTTGAGTACGACTTGGTGTTATGAAGTAGATTGGAGTACCATGAAATTTCAATTAAAACCCTCAAAGCCTACAGAACAGGCGTAGGAAGCTACAGCATAAAGTAACAAACCTCCGGGGTTCTTTGTACTTAAATCGCCTTGAATAGAGAACATATTTGGGCTGTCTATGCCACCCATTGAATTAGCTACAAAGAACTGATATCTGCACCCTCTAGACACTCTACTGTCGCACCCTTGCTAACTATCGCACGCCTCTCCAGCTATTGTCACCTGCTTTCCTGTCACAGCCTCCTATTTTAGTGTTGAATGCTTCTGGCTGTAGATACTTGTTGGGCTAAAAGATGAAAATGGCGTAGGGAGAGAACAACACAACTGCTTGTTTACTGTTGTGGACGTGAAACTTTCGTGACCTCACTTAAGCGAGAAGTGGAGCCTTCTTGAAAGAGGTAGACTGTCGGTCGCTCAACGCGTTTTGCTTTCCCGCTAGTGAATGTTATCTTAAGAGGTTACATTATTTTACATCCACCGACCAAGAACATTCACGTCCAAGCCCCAAGACCGACCATATTTCCTGGCACACCCACACCTTTCAACATGGCTGCATCAATCAGAGACAAACCATTGCCAACATTTGAGCGGACTGGTGTTTTGAAATTATATGGTGATAGTTCATTGTGGTTGAAGAAATTGCGACGTGAAATACGAGAGAAAGGCCTCCCAACTGACGAAAATTTTCTTTTTCTCGCCATATCGCTCTTGTTGACACGAGATCCTTGGGATTTGGCACAACAGCTTCTTCTTCAACAACCAGGAATGAAGGAAATCTTTGAGAAAGCGACCGCCAAGAAGGAACTCACGCACTCTGAATTCACGCATCTCACCAAGACAATCTCGGCTTGCTTTCCCGCAAAACGCGTCCCATCAAATCTTCGGCAACAACTTATAGAAATGACCCCGATGGACCAAGTCTATGACCTCCACCAATACGCTGACGGACGACTAGGCGCATATTACCAGCGCGCCCTCCGTTTGCGGAATGAACTACCATTGACAACATCCGCCGCCGCCCAACAACTCGTGATCTATTTCATAGAAGGTCTTTCGGATCCCGTCCTCGCTTCTTTAGCTTTTCAAATTCAGGATCGGGAGCAAGGAAACGGAGGCACAAGTACGTTGGAGGAAGTGAGAGCATGGATTTCGCAGGCCGAGGAGATCAAGAAAGAAAGAACCAGATTGATGGCATATGCAAAAATGGGAATCAAGGAACATGAGCAAAATTTGGTGAACATGTGGTACAAGAAACCTGCGGAAGAAGGTAGGGGGAATTACCGAGTGTCTGGTCAAGTCGCTAAACTTATTCTTAGGGGGCAAATATGCCAAGTATTTCGGTTCTGGAACGAAGTTTTTCGCAAAGTTGAAGGAGAAGATGGAGGATTTTCGGGCAAGGGGTGTATGAATTTGATGGAGAAGAGGACTATACTATAAGCAAAGCAATTCATTGCGGAAAGGTGCCTTTGCTGAATCTGGTAAACAGAGTAATGACTTGGTGTATGGATTCTAGGAGAAGTTAGACGGCTAAAGTACTAAATACGACTTGTCATCCTTCCCATTGCTAGCGCGGTCCCGACAATATGTGAATTCGCTGCCACAGAACATCAATTGATATATCTTCAAAATCCTCATAAGCAGCGCTGATAGGCGTGCCTGGGGGCTATATATGTAAACGTGTGGAGTAAACCACTACTTGCTGTGATAATATACGGAGTCAAGTGTAAACTGCTATATTGAGCGAATAACAAAGTAAGGGAAGAAGAGAGTTCCAGAGGAACGGAAGCTTATATACAAGATTTGAGCAACACGCACGTGCCGTGCTACACGTGATCTACCCCTTGTCCCTCCAACTCCGTAACAATATATATGGTTAGCCATTGTGAAAATTTACGTTTATTTTCGTGAGATGCCAGTAATACTTTGTTTAGAGATGTCTAGGAGCTAATATAGAAAAGGGAAACACGTATAGCTAAGAAAATACAATAATATTCAGAAAGCTATAGCTAAATGAGAATTCGGTTATATATGCTACTAGTAAAAGACGTGGTCGTTACTCTATATACACCTCCTTTAGAATAATATTATCCTAATAGCCTCGTATGATTGAAACAGTTGTATAGAGTTATATAAAGGGTTCAGAATAATTGTTAACTTATACGTTTTATTAGATTAGTATACTAAGCTAAACAATTTACTTGTACTAAAAGTTTAGTATAATAACATTTTATCTCCTTAGTATTATATATATATACTTTAAATTTTGTATTATATATATATACTTTAAATTTTGTATTAGTAATAGCTCCTCTATAAGGTAATCCTTTAAAATAAGCGTAGATTTTAGTATAATTACATTAAATAGCTAAATTTAAGCTAATTCGAGAAATATCTAAAAATAAGAATATATCAAACTAATTAACGTGGTTTATCAGCGAGTCGATCATATCACCGAGTCGATCACTTTTCCTTGGCACTACCTCCTCAAACTTCAACACACGTTTTCTTCAACTATTTACCATGGAAATTCAAACTCAAGAAGCGCGAATTACTCTAGCTATCGAGGCTATTCGGTCGTCCAAAAAACTAAGCAAACGCTCTGCGGCAAAGATCTACAATGTACCATATACGACTCTTTCCGACAGAATGGCTGGCCGAACCTACCGCCCAGATTCTCAAGCCAATTGTCATAAGTTGACTGAGTTAGAAGAGGAAGTGATTATTCGGTATATACTGGATATGGATTCCAGAGGATTTGCGCCCCGGCTCGCTGGTGTAGAAGATATGGCTAATTTTATCCTTGAATCGCGGGGGGGAAGACGCGTCGGCAAGCTCTGGGCCCATCGATTCGTACAACGACAACCAGACCTTAAGACGCGTTTTAATCGCGTTTACGACTTCCAGAGGGCCTTATGCGAAGATCCTGACGTGCTAGGCGCATGGTTCCGGCTAGTAGAGAATATGAGGGCGAAATATGGGGTTACAGACTCCGACTTCTACAACTTCGACGAGACAGGCTTTATGATGGGTGTTATTTGTCCTAGAATGGTTGTTACTCGTGCAGACCGACGTGGTAGAGGCAAGGCAGTTCAGCCAGGCAATCGGGAATGGGCTACAGCAATTGCCTGTATTAATGGGGAGGGCTGGAGTATTCCTCCATTCTTGGTAGTTCAGGGCAAGAACCATCTCTCCAACTGGTATACCGACGGCGGCCTCCCACCTAACTGGGTTATTAAACCGACAAGCAATGGTTGGACAAATAATGAAACAGGCCTGGAATGGTTAAAGCACTTTGATAAACACACTACAGCTCGTGCAAAGGGTCTGTATCGAATACTAGTTTTGGATGGGCACGAGAGTCATGAATCGGCTGAGTTCCAAGACTACTGTACGAAACACAACATTATTACTCTTGGACTACCTCCTCATTCATCCCATCTAACCCAGCCACTTGATGTTGGGTGCTATAGTGTGTTAAAACGAGCGTATGGTCGGCAGATTGAGACGTTTATCAAGGCCCATATCAACCATATTACAAAGGTTGAGTTCTTTCTAGCCTTTACAGCAGCATACAAGGAAACAATGACAGTCCTAAACTGTCAGTCTGGATTCCGCGGAGCTGGCCTAGTACCATTTAACCCGCAAGCAGTGCTTTCAAAGCTTGACGTAAGGTTACGGACTCCAACTCCCCCTCGGACGTGTAGTGCCAACTCCCTCCCCTGGGTGTCCCAGACCCCTTCCAACCCAACTGAAGCCCTTTCACAATCAACTCTTGTACGAAATCGTATAGCCTGTCATCAAGGAAGCTCGCCAACTCCACTTTTTCAAACAGTTGCTGCGTTAGCAAAGGGTACAGAGCGAATGGCACATGAGATGACCCTTTTGTCTGCTGAGGTCCGTACCCTTCGCGCTGCAAATGAAGCCCTAAGTAAACGCCGTAGGGCTAAAAAGACTCGTGTCCGCCAAGGAGGGGCACTTATAGTAGAGGATGTACAGGATATGTTAGCTCAGGAGGATGTAGATGAGCAAGTACGACGCGACATGCGTGAGGCGGGGGTTGGTTATAAGGAGGGGCAACCTTCTAGGCGGCGCTGTAGAACTTGTGGAAAAGCTGGTCATAACGCGCGAACTTGTCAAGAAGTTATAGATATATCTAGTTCGTCAGATATAGAGAGCGATAATTAATTTAATATATTGTGGTTGATTTATTTAGGTGTAAAGTTCTGTGCCAAGAAAAAGTGATCGACTCGGTGATATGATCGACTCGCTGATAAACCACGTTATAGTAGAATCTATATTATTATTCGAGTCTATCTCTTTATTTAAATTACTAGACTCTCTATTAATACTCTTATTTATAGTAGAACTATTATAATTATAGTTTTAGTAGAAATATTTATAGAATAAATATACTATAACTTTATTTATCTTTTATAACTATTTTAAAATACTTTTTTTTAACTATTAAAGAAGTCTAATTTAAGTATAAGAAACACAATTATTTTCCAATATTTCAAGGTATAGTATATAAAACAATTAGTAGTTTTACGTTATATAATGTGAGGGTTGGAACCCATGATGGAGGCTCGGGCCATGCCCTCGCTAAGCACTGACCAAAGTCCCCGCTCAGCATTGGCCATTGCTCCACTGCTAAATTGGTTTCTCCTTTTCTACACTTTTCTACTCTATTCTTTTGACGTCACGTATTTGTCAAACAGTTTCTTGGAAGACTCCAGAAACTCTTCCTCTCTCTATATATAGAGGAAGAGATTGCATGTATGTAGTCTTCACGCACTTCTTAATTGAATATTCGAAACCACACCTTTGAGCTATTCGAGGTCTGGCCTCTCACATATATCTTTTAATTATAATTTACTTTCTATTTAAATTTTAAATTTTATAATATAAGAGTTCTAGAGTTCTAACGTATATATAAGACTAAACGACTTTATTAGCCTCTAGTTATTCTTATCACGACTATAATTATTACAAGTATCTAGTATTTAGTCTTTATATAAGCACGTGCCCTTAGTACCGCTCCAGGTAGTACTATATGTACTTATATTAGCCAGCTCTATAGTACTTCGAGTTCTAGACTCTTTAATTTGTTATCTTACTATATCTTAACCTATATGATTTACCCCTGTTCGCTTATCGTGACAATAATAGCCTTGCTCAAAGTGCGCACGAGTGTAGTGGCGAGGACTTAACTCTATTCGGAGCTGTACTTTATAGAAGGACATCCTCGGAGCAATTCTATAAAAACAGTTGCACAGAGCTAACTAGCTACCCTCTGTCTTCCCCGAGACAAGCGAGCGTGTCTAGGAACGCAAGACGTGCTACGTAGTTTTCTTACCTAATTTGTGTGGACTATCTAGTAAACAATTCTTCTAACATGTAATCCCGAGGTTCTAGTATCTCATCTTTCGAGCTTATTCGCACTCTAGTATGACAGGAATTTACGATTTGCCAGTGTTGTACTTACTCTATTCCGAAAAGCGGCGGGTTGTCGCCGAGAGGCCATTGAAGTCGCGGAGTAATTGACCGGAGGCCACTAAAGTAGTATAATCCGTTGAAACAACCATAAGACCCAAAATTCCCCAAGTCTTAAAGTGGGCTCAAAGTTGGTATCGTGAACATAAAAATCGAAATGTACATATGCGACAGTAAGGAGATATTGTGTGTACAGAGTAATAACCAGGTATCTTACCGGCTTTTACTTTTGTAGCTTTTGCATCGGACTTCTTGGCCAGTCAAGCTTTTATCCACCCGAAGATATCTTCTAATACTATAGTACAAGAAAAAATCCAAAAGAATCAAATGCAAACTGCTAACAGAGCGTGCTCAGTTGATATAAGCATGTGACTCATGACCCCTGGCTCTTTGTCAGCGTCCACGAATTGCCCTTGAACGAAACAAAATCTTTCGCTCGACACACAGTATGTTCAAAACTTTCTGCACTATCAAGCGGCCATCTCTTGAACCCAAACTCGGATAACGAGATTCGGAACTTCCATTCTGTCCGAAAATACTGATTCTACATATTCTGCCGCCTTGGTCGAACTGCGAAGACGCCAAATTTACATACAGTGACGGAGGGTTAGTGTTTCATGGTTATGCAGTTGGGTGCGGCTTCTATCTTTGGGGATCTTTCTTTGGATCCTGAAGCTGAGACACAGAAGAGGCAGTATTATTGGGACCGGCATTGGTTTGCGAAGTTACACACCTTGATTACTTTAAGTGGCAGTAGTTAAGTAAGCTTAGTAAAGGTTTCAGGTCTGCCTGCTCCAAAGTCAATGTTGATACAATCCGACAGGCTGTAGCGAGGACAGCCAAAGCCTGCAACGAGCTACGCGAATATGGCGCTAAAAGGTATCTATCGTTATTGCTGGTCACCTGCCAATCAGAGGTAGCTAATTAGCAAAATTTCGCGCAAATGAGCAGGCAGGTGGCTTATCCCGGATCTTTGCTCGTTTGCTAGACCGCGACTCAAGACCTTCATGGTTCTTGGCGATTTATTGATAGGAAAGGGCACTGAGATATCCAATTGCGAGAGATACCTTTACTTGGACATCTGCAACAGTATCTCCGGTCCAGAAGTAATGTTACTATTGTGAATCGACCCAACTCCATCCACTGGGCGCATATGGCGCCCTTGTTGTTCAGCTTACCTCTCAAAACTTTCTATAATTACGACATACCGAGTACCTTCTCTTTGATCCCAGAAGCACTCTCTGCGCAAAGTTAATCTATTCTGTTCAAAGCGTCAGCCTTCAAGATTAATCAGAGATCCAGGTCACTCACCGACTACCGAGACAATGTAAGCTATGTAGGCGTTCGCCAACAGATATTAATTCTCGATCCGAACCATGAAAGGGGAAGAGGGGGGTTATGCGTCAAATAATTCAAGATTGCACAATAACGGCAAGTAGGGGGGCGGGCTTCAAATGTTGCGAAGCCTTCCACGTTTTAGTGCCATTGATGCTTATCTAGAAATTCCCAAAGAAGATATGAGAAACTCGTATGGAGATAGAAGTAGGTTTACTGTAGATGCCTGAAGGAGAGATACAAGCATTTATGTGGGGAGCCCTCAGAACCCGGCCCGGGCACCGACATTCCGAACTTGATATTCGGCACTCTTTCAACGTCAATTGCAATCCATCGTGCGGTACTTACGGTCGCGTTCCCTGAATTCTCCTCCATAAAATCACCTCGAAGGGAAACAGAGGAAAACATAGCACCGGTGCTGTCTCTACCTTATCTTCCCCGGCGCGAGATTACTCACAAGATACGAGGTCGATGGACCGACCTATGGTCAGTATAACCAGGCATAAATTGGCGCCGAAAGTAGGCTCACGTAGTTGAGGAGTAGCGTACGTATACATGTTATCCATGCTAGTGGCTCGATAATTACAATTGCGGCCTCCCTCGATTCTTGAGTAAAAACACCTTTCTTTCAGATCATATCGGAAGAACCAGAGAGAAATTTTGGAGTTATCTTCTATGAGAAGAAGTGAATTCACGGAGTATCAAAACATGTCACGGTGATAGTGAAGCCGTCCACCTTTCAACATCCACGAGCAAACTCCCTCCTTCTACATTGACCCATGTATAATGAATGTTGAAATTTAGTGGATTTACAGGGGATTTTCAAGTGGAATACAGGGTACGAACTCCACTGGATTTAACGTTCATTATGCCTGGGACGAATCATTCCCGGGATGAGAGAAAAGCCAAGGCGGAAATCATAATAAGCTTTTGAGACTTGAGATGTTTATCAACGCCCCAAAACCGGCATAAACAAAGTGACCAAACATTTCAAAATATGAGTGCTTCCATATGAGGCAGTCTCTGTTGTCACCAATAATGGCTGTAGCAATCCCGTCGGGACTTTTTTGTGCTGTACTAACACTGCCCAGTGGCTGTCCCCTGTATAGTGGCTGTCCCCTGTATAGTGGCTGTCCCCTGTATAGTGGCTGTCCCCTGTATAGTGGCTGTCCCCTGTATATTGTTCCTTTCTACAGAAACTGATTATGAGAGATTTCCCGCATTTAGAATTACAAGCTCCCTTTGATACAAAACCTCTGTGCTTACTCATGACATTTTCTATTCTGTTATCTCTTCACGTAATATCGGGAACTGTTTTAGAATTGATTAATCGTGCGTCTCGGCAATCCAAGCTTCTCTGTCGAATCTGGTAGATGAAGAATTGATTGCGAATAATAATATGGTCAGAACCGAGTAATAGTCCAACAGACACATCGAGTCTTACCAGCCTGTTAAAGCTTAGCCTGTGACATGGCTGAGGTGCAGGAGTCATGGGAGTTACTTCGTATCAGTTTCAGTGGATAAAGTGTACCCATGTGGGAGGTTGAGTCCCGGTACAATTGATAAAGGTCCATGTGCCGTATTCATCCTCAATCATGTTTTGCATGAGAGCAAGAGACAGCCGAAGATTACAAAACTTACCGGCCGTCCATAAATGTAATACTACTTCGAAGTAGCAGTTCCTAAAGTATTTTAGATCACTTGGCGCGATCACTTGGCAACTGAAACGTCCTTCCTGATTTCAGTTGACCAACTTGGCAAAATGTTCACGTCAATCCCGCCATTCCCCCTTGCGAATCGAGGAGGTGGATCCTCTCGCTATCTGAGCCGCCGCGGCTGAAAAGCTTGCGTATTCCAAGAAAGCTCTTACTAGAGCTTAGTCTGCTCACGTGACCGGTATTCGTCTTGCTATCGTAACTGGGGCTCATCTGGGCTTGGAGACCCAGCAGCGGAGTTTGTTTTAGGATTAGACCAGTCGAATGACAGAAATGGGTATCTTGGTTCCACTCTGAGAGCAAATGCTCGGAAATTCACAATGTACCCCAGACTTCAATCCCTCCCAATTAGGCATCTCGCTGTATGACATCCCAGGTGGATTGGACAGGAGAATGATAGTTCTGCCTCGGTCATATTCGCGTTTCTATGAAAGTGGATGCCACAGGATGACACAGGGTGGTGAGAAAAATGTATATATGATAAGTTCCCTCTGGTATTAGGAAAGCCAACAAACCATCCATTCATTCGTTCATTCAATACTCTGGTATGTCCCCCTTTCATCCATTCAATCTATAACCTGGCGAGATTTCTGCACATATATCACCATTCATCTATATAAATTTCTTGACGGAAGCTTGTTCCGCAATTGTACAACCATCACAAGACCTCGCTTATCTAGAGAGATTTCACTTCAACTAACATATTTATCTTTATAGTAATATCTTATCATATCTCTCTCGGTCTTCACATCTCTCAAAAACAAACCTCTTCCTACCATAATGCGTTTCACTGCCGCAATCTTCAGCCTCGCCGTCGTGGCCCCTGTGTTTGCTCATCCAGCACATCAAGCCCGTTCGGCCGATGTGGTTTGTGAAGGATCTGGAAACTTGGTTCCTGCACAGTCAACCAACGCTTCTCCATGTAACACGGAACCTAGTCCTGAATTTCTTGCCGCAGTTGCATACATTGCAGCCGCGGAGGCCAATGGCACCTTAGGAACACAGAATGAGCTGAATTCTCGAGCGACTGTCACTATTCAAACCTACTTTCACGTCGTTGCATCTGCTCAGACTGTTGCCGGGGGCTACGTTACCGCTGCTCAGATCTCTCAGCAAATGGACTATTTGAATTCCGCATATGCTTCTACTGGATATGCCTTTGTCAATGCTGGTGTTGATTACACCATCAATGCTGGATGGGCACGCGATGGCAGCGAATTAGCTATGAAAAAGGCTTTGAGAAAGGGAACATACAAAGACCTGAACATTTATTTCCAGCTTGCACTTCAAGATGATGCTTTGGGAGTAAGTAACAGCAGCCTGAAATCGAACTTTGAAGCGAAAGCTAATTTTTATATCAGTACTGTTATTTCCCAGTTGCCAGCCACAGCACCACCTCCGATAACTTTGCCTATGACGGATGCTCCATTCAGGCTGGCAGCATCGCTGGTGGTACCCTCGCTAACTACAACCTCGGAGGAACTGTAGCCCATGAGGTTGGTCACTGGATGGGACTTCTTCACACTTTCCAAGGTGCCGCTTGCTCCAGCACCAACGATGGAATTGCCGATACCCCAGCACAAAACGGCTACACTCAAGGATGCCCATCAACCAGAGATTCTTGCCCAAATGCCGCTGGTTTGGATCCTATCCACAACTACATGGATTACAGTTATGAGTAAGTTATGCGAGCTTCAAATTATGAAATAATGGCTAACGATGTTTTAGTGTTTGCTACACCGAGTTCACTCCTAACCAAATTACAAGAATGAACAGCATGTGGACTACTTACCGTGCCTGAATGAGAGTGATTGGATCGAGCATTGCCAATTTATAGATGAATTGAGTGCAACGAATGATTGGATGTGAAAGATGGGACAGCGGGTGGCCGTCAGTTGGGAATTTCTAACGGGGAAGGGTTTTTGGAGAGATTTGTGGGGGATAATGTGACGAGAAGGACTTATAATGTGTTTCATAATGTATATATGGGTAGTGTGTAATGAATAAACGACTATAATTCAGAACAATGGCTTTTTGAGAACGTGAATGAGTAACGAAGATCATTTTTTTCTGTGCTCGCTTTCCGAAGTCTGAGGTCAGATGCCACAACCAAATCTAATTCTTCATGTGGCATGACAGACACGGCTTTTCTCTTTCCGGGATGCAGGATATTACTTTAGGCTCTTTACAGTTCTGATCTGACTATTCATTGTACTCGATTTCGTTTTAGTCTTATTCGAATTGCACTCTTTGACCACCAGAGTGGATGTGTGTGGATGTGAGTAATAGGGCCTTGCGCCATTAAGAGTAGTGGATTTTATGCCCTGGTCTGTCAAATCTCGAGATTTCGCAGCTTCCCGTCATCCAAAAAGTCCAGATTTCGCCCTGTAGCGAGACTCCCCCAATGATCTACGTCTATTTAGTGGGTACTTTTAAGATTCTAGCTTGGCAAAGTAAGGGTAAAAAAGGTGACCTGACCAATCAGAAAGCGTGGATGAACGTAAAAACAGAAGGAACAGAGAAAATCATAAGGTGGGAGTACAGGTTCGCTCACATACTACAGGGCACCCTCGTAGCACTTTCCACTCACATCCACCTTGTGGTGGTCAAAGAGTGCAATTCGAATAAGACTAAAACGAAACCGAGTATAGACAGACGGATCTTGCTACCACGTGTATTTTATTGACCAGTTATAGAAATAGTTAATTCTTTCAAGTGTTGCTTCTGACTAAAGACCAATTACAGTTCCTATAGTCCGTAGATTGATGTTCTACCAAACTTTGCCGCGCCTGAATTTTTGTACGTATCAGTGCAAATTCGACCAAAAACTCTGAGCTTGAGGCTCAGTACCATCAAGCTGAAAGTCCGAACCTCTCGATTCGTACAACAAGTGGCAGAATACTTGATCAGTGAGTGAAGTGTGCAGTGCCAGGTCTCAATTAGGCGAGAGACGTTGTTCGCCCCATACATTAACCTTGCGGGCCACGAGTCTTAAACATCTTAATATACAACAAAATAAAGTATTATGCTTTCGATCAACGTGCATTGGCATCTTGTCAAGCAAAACTTGGCATATACTTTATTACATATAAGGATTCGTCACCTTTGATGGAATTCACTGCTTCTGTCTAGGCACACATGATCTGTTAGTGAACTCAAACTGTTAAAATAGTTTATCTCAGCACCCAGACCCTCCTTATAAAGGCTTCAAGTGGTGGCCTCCCCCCCACGTGATTTACCCGCTCCTAACCAGACTACCCAGGCCCGGCAGCCGACCCCCGGCCCGTGTATAACGCTACTAAGTGTCACGAATCACGTGTTCACGTGATACCTGTCATAATAAGAGGCGCAACCCTCGACAGGGACATCCAGGTTTCTTATAGCAAATAGGGATCGTTTGGAGTAGCTAAGCGATCCAGGGATTTCTCTGTATTGTTATCACGTGATGTTAGGAGTTCGCCAGTTAGCCGGACGAACAGGCGAAGTTAGCCAGTTCGATTGTCGAACGAGCGAACATTGAGAGAACGAAGGTTCTATATAAGACTGGCACGTCTGCCATTAGATAGGAGCTTCGTGCTCAACTTAGTTATCAATCTTATCATATTAGTTTGACATCTTTGATACAAGTAACGAGTTCACTTCCAAGTGAACAACCCGATAGTCTTCTTCTTATCATAGCATACCAACCAGCGAACACCCAGCCAAGTTTAGTTAGCCAGTTTGAGTATTCGTTACAGACTTCTACTTATATACTTATTTATATAAAAATAGGTATATTAGGGTTAATTTTTATTACACTAACTTCTATATAAACTTAAAAGATAGCGCTTAATTAGTTCTATATAATATATATTTATAAGCTAAATATAATTATAATATATTATATTATACGCTTATAAAGTATATGGGTATATAAGACTTGAATATATATATATATAAGTTATAGGAATACTAAAACTTACCCTTATAATAATATGATATACTACGGTCGAATTTAGCTTATAAATATATATTATATAAAGTTAATTAAATACTTTCTTTTAAGCTTATATAAAAGTTAATAGAATAAAAATTAACTCTAATATATCTATTTTTAGATTAGTTAAGTTTTAGTATTCCTATAGCCCGCGTACACGTATTTAAGCCTTACCGAGCTATATATACTATATATTATACCTACTTTATAAGTATATATTAAATATAATATAGATTCAATTTATATATAGTATACCTAGTCTAATACTTTAACTAAAAGGCTTTAATTTATGCTTAAAATCCCGATAATAGGTATTATAGTAGATATAAACTATCGCGTATAGATAAGGGGTCTATGTCGTCGATTTTTAGGCCCTGAATTAGAGCCTATTACCTAGATAATCCCCATTTTCCCTTAGACGCTAGATGGCCGTTTCGGGGGGTTAGTTATGATTGGCTGGGGGTTGCCGGGGGTGGGGCGGGGGGCCGGG